TCAGCTGAGCTGAAAAATTGTGTAACAGCTGTTCAATGAAGAGGCTTCCTTCATTTTGCAAAACAGATTCGTTTCCTACAAGAGAACTGAATTATAAATGCCACCTTGAGTCTCTCAGCTAGGTGGATGAGCACTTTTCAGTTGCCAAGTCCCATTTTAATCTCCTTTACAGAAGTGATTTTGAGCTTTTGGGGTTTTCTGTTGTTTGCAGAACCTCAGAAATGTTCCAAGGGGAGTGCCAAACCCCGTCTGGTGAGTTTGAGCCTACTGAATGAAGGTCGGTTGCCTTTTCTTAATTCTTCCTTTCCTTTCGACCCCTCAGAAGCAGGCCTCAGTTTTAAAGCTCACCCCCAAAACAGGCTGAAAATAATTATTAAAGCATCACCAGTTTGATGGGTATCGCTGAACTGGAGTTGATTCCATGTTGGGTAGTCTAGCTGGAATGCAAATGGCTTTTTTTTTTCTAACCCAAATTCTGTAATGCCTCTTATAGCTTTCAAATATAAATTCAGAATTCAAACATAAATAATAACAAGCATTAATAAATTCAAGTAAAAAGGACAATAGTTGTGCCATATGATGGTGCAGGACCAGACCTTGCAGAATGTCACTGCTCTGTAACGCTGCCCACTGGGGTTGACATGGAATTCCCTCTGGCCTCTCCAGGCTCCTGCAGACGTTCAGTGACAGCGGTGTCAGCTGAGCACTAAAACAGCCCCCCGGGACGTGTTCAACTCCATGGCTCAGTCAGGAATGGTCACAGAGAATCAGTAACAGTTTGGGGTAGTTCCAGGAAAAGTAAGTACAGTAACAAGCCCAGTTAGGTAAAAGACTTTCCTCAAAATAACTTTACATATGTAGCGCAGGGATAGTTTTGCGTTATTGAGATTCTTTTCATTCCAAATAGTCTATTTATAAAGATACACTTTGAACTTGAAATATAGCCTATATCAGCCATATCAAACATACTTAAAGGTGTTCCAGGCAGTCTATTTGCTTCTCTCTGCATGTTTTTATAGCCTTACTTTTAGGAAAAGCCTAACTTCTATCCTCAAAGTATTTTTCTTTTTGCTGTTTGAAGAACTCACACAGTAAGAAGGGAAAAGCAGTGATAACTCTAAGTCTGTAAGAACTATATGAGTGTACCCTTCCACACACAAAGAGCGCACAAAGAGCAAGCAGAGGAGAGTCGGGAGAAAGAAAAAGGAGGGAGAAAATTTTTGTCTGGCTTTGTCTACGACATCATCAGATTTCCCTGGAGTGTGTCATCTGTCTCAAGTTGTCCCTAGCACTGCAAGGAACCTGGAAAGATCATTCATCACTGGTAGATGTTCTTAATGGTTTTTGACCTGAACCTTTCTTTAGGTCTTCCAATTTTCTCAGCTTAGGTCAGAATTTCTCAGAAACCAGTAGCTGTGGATGTAGGAAAATTCTGTTTTTCTGCATTCAGCTAGCGTGGTCATCCCTCTTGCTAATTTAGGAGCCTAATGCAGGATATTATAGATCTGAAATTGTGTGAAAAGCCAGGCCAGGTGTGGTAGGTCTTCCCCAAGCTGGGGCTGTTACGATTCCACAACATGAAGTGGATGCGCCTGCTCTGCAGTTGATGCGTTGAAGGAGGCTTAGCTGGGGATGAACTGCGTGTGCCTCTGGAGGGGTCACGTAGAAGGGCACCCTGGCGTGTCCGTGCGGCGCTGCCCAGCGCTGCCCGTCCTGGGAGCGCGTTGCGGAGATGCCGCGGTGTCCGCCTGCTTTCCGCAGGGTCCAGAAGCGTTTATGAGCAGTGGCTGTGCCTGACCTGCAGGTAATACAGGTGCTCATGGACCCAGACTGGCGCTGGATCTAACACAGGGCTCATCCAGATCTGTTAGATCTGGACAGTTAGTACTGATCTGCATAAATTAAGTATATTGCATATATATATATATATGAGTACTTAAAAATCTACTGTGATTTAATGACCATTCAGCTAGTGCTTGGACTCAGCTGTTTTATTACAGCGCATACGATATTTTGACCCTTAAGGTATATTTTTAAAGCAGCTGAATGCAGCATTTGCTGTGGGAAGTGTGGCAGCATGTCCAATAGTATGTGTGCTAGATTTTAGGTTCATTTCGTCTTTTTGCTCTTTTCGTCATTTTGTCTTCTAGTTAATGGCTATATAAAAGAAAAGCATTGCCTAACAGTCTCATATTTTATGTTGTTTCTATTTCCTGTAAAGATTTGTGTGGATCTGAATGTGTATTGTGTGTATGCCTAAGCACACTGACCTGCAGCAGGGTTTTCTGGGCCTGAGCGCTTGGTGAGCTGTGAAGGTGGGTGCCTGGCATCCATGCTGAAGGCAGAGTTGCCCAAACCCCGTTTTTCCTAAAGCAGCGTTGCTGGAGGACTGCGCGTCAGCTGGTTCGGAGCTG